TAGATATTAACTTATTGGAAATGGTTCTGGGGATGGAAGGGTTACCTTACAAGGATAGGTTAAAATCTTAAGATATCTTCTCTTGAAAGGTAACAGGTGATGTTAATGAGGGTTACAAGATTATTTGTGTTGGATTGCTAGGTTGAAAATGTCTGATTTTTTTTGTGCTATATTTTGAAACAAGAGGATGAGAGGACACAAATTTAAGATTTGACTGGATAAGTCAGGCTAAACTTCATTCTTCAAAGAGTATGATTTGATTATAGAATGAGTTGCTGTCAGTAGTAGTTTAGGCTGGAACTTTACAAGAGTTTCAGAGTGGAATTGATGATTTCCTGAAAAATAAAATGTGTTAAAATGTTTACTTTTCTCTAGGGTGATGTGCAAAGATATCTTTAAAGGACCAAATGGTCCCTTGTTACCCATATTCTATATCTTGTAATGGCAAAAGAAAAACATGAATCGATGCACTAAAAGTCCACACACACTGCTTCTAAGTAATTTCTCAAAGAATAAACAATAAATGCCAATTAACCCTTATGATGCATCAGGCAGATCTATCCATTCTGACATTTATAAACATTTGATGCGACAAGCAGATTTACCCCATGGCTTTACAAAAGACTAGAAAAGATCAAATTCCCAATTTCAATTTTGGGGTGAATAATTGGCGCTTTTCGGGAACAGACCGATATGTTTTATGTACCAAAAGGGTTAAATATGACATACGTAATTGATGAAATACTTGTTCAACTTGTATGTGGTATATAATACCTCCCCCCCACACCCCTCAATGTGTATAATTGAGTTTTCTTGACCTTTTTTTTTTACATATTACCAACGGTTCTACCATACATCTATTAGTAATTATCTGAATATAAAATATGTTTTTTGTAATAGAAAGATGAACCATCTACTGTCAGTTATATAGTTTTTCTTGGTAAAGAAAGAACTAACACTAAGAGTATGTTTTTAGCTGAGCAATAACAAAATATTTATTTTATAGTTAGTGAGGTGTTTTTGTAAGTACTAATAATGACTGGCAGTTCTTAGAAAACTTTTTTTTGTTTGTTTTTTTTACCCAGGTGCTGGAAGGACTTGATTATCTTCATACCAAATGTAAAATTATTCATACTGATATCAAACCTGAAAATATATTACTTGCAGTAGACGAACCCTATGTGAGGAGACTAGCCTATGAAGCAACTCAGTGGCAGAAGATGGGTGTGAGGCTTCCTGGTTCATTAGGTAAGTGAACTTTTAAAACATTGATTGTTTTTTAGAAATGTAACATTAAAGATATATTTCATGGAAGGACAAACAAAATTTTTTTTCTATCTTTATTTCTAACAAACAATCTTAAATCAAAGAACTCTAATGTATCTTTCACGATTATGTACATTCCTCCTCTTAAATGTGTGCACACCATGAATTTTAACACACAATCAGAGAACACTCCCTTATACTTCAGTGTATGATATGTAAAGATGGAATTTCTTTGCATCATGGATAAAATGGCAGTAAATCTTAAGTTTGGGCCTTACAAAATACATTTTGTAGTTTATACAAAATTACAATATATATATAAAAAATTTAAGCTGTATGCTACCATGACCTGCTAGATGACATAGTACAAATATGAAGTATCAGGCTATTGAGTCTGAATTTAAACTAAAGATGTAAATGGTTCAATAGTATGTATATAATTTTTATTTTTTTTTGGACAGTTAACTTTCAGCCCATTAATATTGTACTGGCCACATTTGCAGTGGTTTTTATTTCATTATCAATTTTTAGATTTACACTAAAACCTAACTTTGGTTCAAAAATGTTCAATGGTTATCATACAGTATTTTCTAAATGTCTGTTTTTCACATACAGTGATGATTATAAGTTAATGATTTTTACAAATGAAAAGTATTAACTACCAAGTCTTATGTTATACTTCACTCCAGTATGAGCTTATAGATCAGCCAATTTCTTTTAAAAATCTGTAACTAATTTCTAAAAGAAGTAGAGGTATCTTTAATAAGTAGGATACGGTAAAATTATTATCTGTTGTTTAAATTAGGATTAACAATATACAAGATATTTTTATGAAAAACATCTTTTAACAACACTTGGCCTATGATTGTATTACTGCTAATAAGCATGTGTGAAAACTGGCTTTCAGGTCAATGGTTATGAATGTGTTGAACAGTGGCAAAATATACAGTTATGTCACACGTTTTTGTACACTACCTAAAAGTTATAAATTATTTTTATTGACTTTTATGTTTGTTTATTTATTTTGTTGAAGTAACTATCTTATCATTCTTAACTTTGTTTAATGCAAACTGGAGTTTATTATGAGACATTTTTATCCAGTTAGTGGATGAGTGAACTTGTGGGATATTGATAGCTCCTGACGAAGCTGTAACAGTGAAATATTGAGCTAATAAAGTTACATTCTGGAGATATAGGTAGTGATTTTATTTACATTTACAGAAATAACTACGTTCTCAGTTCTTTATTTACAAAAACTTTCCTTGGCAATTTATGATATACTTGGATTATTTTAATGTGTGCTGTCAAGCAAGGCTTCTGATGTAATAATTAAATGTTTAGAAATTTACAATCCGTATATGGAAAAGTTTTCTACAGCATACATGTTGCAGGAAAAAAATGATCCCAGCTTTCCCATCATATATTTATGCCTTTATTAGATTTACAAGCTTAATTTAAATATTTTTATTCCCCAAATAACACTTACAGTTAAAGAGGTGACCAAAGTTGAAATGTTAGCATCTTGGATTTTTTTTTATACCGTGTTATCCTAAACATAAGTTACAAACTTTACATTTAAATTGTAAATCTGAACATTCTAGAGATAGTTTAATAGTGTAGGTGACTTGAGGAGGGAAATTGGATAAAGTTTTTTAAACTTAATGTTGTAAAAATCCCTTGTAAAATCGCAAAATACTGGGCTGGAAAGGGTTAGCTTCAAAATTGTGGATTTAAGCCTTATTTGCAACACCTTGGCCCATTCATTGTTAAAAACACAAACAAGAAAGTTAATACTTAAGTGACCAGTAGAATTTGAATCATGAGCCCTTGCAATAACAAACACGTCTGCAATGAAAAAGAGCAACTATACCAAGACGCCTTGTCTGGAAATAAGTTTGAAATTGATAATAACAATAAAGTTGTTTTATAGTATCACTGATTTTTCAAGTTTTATAATTTTCCATGAAAATAAATTTTAAACAATTTAGGCTTAACCTTTCAACTCGGGGAAACCTGCATACTTTTCCTCTTTTTAGGTCAATAGACTTTACAGTGTATTAATTATTCAGATTTTCGTGAACAGAGAACTTATAAAGCAGTATATCAAATATTCAGTCAATTAAAAAAGACAAGAACAAACATAATTTAACCTTACACACGATGTAGTACACCCAGTGGCACAGAGGTATGTCTGTGGACTTATAATGCTAGAAACCAAGTTTTGATACCCGTGGTGGGCAGAGCACAGATAGCCCACTGAGTAGCTTTGTGCTTAATTAAAAACAAACAAACACATAATTTATAAGGTGCAGAATATATGTAAAACTGGTTCTGGTCAGTGGACATTGTTGAAACTTACCTGCTCTGGATTATAAATATTCTATCTAAAAATTTGTATCACTATTACAAAAAGACTAGAAATTAGTTATAGTACAATAAGAATTTGTAAGAGTCAATTCTAATATTTTTCCCTACAAAGAAATTAGTTATAGTACAATAAGAATTTGTAAGAGTCAACTCTAATATTTTTCCCTACAAATCACACATTCTTTCTCCAAAATCCAGCTCATTATAAGCAAAATACCATAAAATAGTATCATAAATTAGGATTTGAAAAACAACAAATAAATTTCGTCTAGATCTCAATTAGCCGTTAAACTTCACGCATAGAATTTTTATTTTTAACACTTCAAATGTTATAAACAAGATAAATGTATATTCTGACAAATGATAAGTTGAATAACTTTTCATGGATATCATTTTTAATCTTTATACCATGTTTGACTTTTTGTAAAAACTTGATATTGTTCACGGTAATCCCAATGTGGTCAATTTAAATCTCATACTTTAGTTTTTCATAACTAAATATTCAGTATAAGTAAATTCCAATACCTTCTTATTGTATTTTTGGATGATATTGTGATGATAAACTAGAAAGATACCAATTTTTTATGACTGTTTAATTATATCATCATAAAAATTTCCATTCTTTTATGTGTATGTATCCGTTTGCTTCCTTGTAGTGAGCACAGCTCCAAAGGTTTTTCAAGGGCCTGACCCCAATGCTAAGATGTCTAAGAATAAAAAGAAGAAATTGAGAAAGAAAGCAAAACGTCAACAGGAGCTGCTAGAAATACAAATGCAGCAACTAGAGGCTTTGGAAGTGAAACAGCATCAGGTTGAGTATTGAATTTACAAACAAAACAAATTCCAAATTCTTTTACATTTTTTCTTATTCTTCTCGCGTAGAATTGAAACTTAACTCTTTGGGTTTTTCATCTCCTTTCATGTTTTTATGATCTGTCCCCTGGTGGGACAGCGATAAGTCTACAGACTTACAATGCTAAACTTCGATATTAGATTCCCAACAGTGGACACAACAGTTAGCCAAAAGTGGCTTTGTTCTAAAACAAGCATACTACTTTAATAGTTCTTTTATGTATGAAATTTTGTCGACAAATAAATTTTACATTTTCTGTTACTTCATATTTCAAAGACCAAATCTTGCAACTTCAATTTTAAAAACGAATAAAATGTGTATGTATAATGATGAAACCTTTCTTTTTTTTATTATTTTAAGTATTTTGTGTTAGTATTCATTTCTACACAAACCCTTGTTTTCAACTGATAGAATATGCCACTTTTATAACATTGTAATAGTAGCTGAAACTTTAATTTATTTAGGTTTATGTTATTTGCGTGGTAGGTAGAAAATGAAGATGGAGACTGTCAACAAAACTACAGAAATTCAATGATCGCAGATAACGGTAGCTCGGAAATAAGAGGTATGTAACTTTCTCAAAAAACATGTCTGTAGCATTAAACCTTGATGAAAACTTAAGATAAAGCTATTAAGGCTCTTTACCTTGTAATAAGTTATATATTAGATTAGACAAAACGATTACTAAAAAGTGTCAAATCATGTTCATAAAATTAAATTATTGATTGAACCAATCATACCAACTTGAGATCCTTCTGTCCATTCTATGAAAGTCCCAGCTACACTTAGTAAGGATAATAGTGAATGTAATTGTGAGTAGATATTAAATCTTTCAAATCTATGAAAATATCTAGCACATGTCCTCAATATGAATAACAGTGAATGTATTTGTCAGGAGATAACAAACGTTTCAAATATGTGCAAATCCCAAGTACTCGAAGTATGAGAAAAAATTATATGTAAGGAGTGAATGAATTTATCAAAATATTAACATTTCAGGCACTTTTAAGTATGATTAACAGTGAGAAAGGCACATAAGTTTACTTTCTAATTAAGAACTGTCTACATTTTGTTTACAGCTCCACAATTTTGTCTCATTTGAGATCTAGGTTATATGGTTTAGATTTGAATAAGATTTTCTGGTACTGCAGAGTGTTTTGTAAGCTAACATTATTTGAGAGGTGAAAAAAGCTTATTTTATTAAAGCAATACTTAAATTTCATTTCTAACTCCATTTTACTTAAGTAATTATGTAATAACTTCTATCAGAAGACTTGCCTGCTAAGATTCTATAATAATAAATACAATTCATAATAAATAGTCCTAATTATGGGTAACAGGAAAACTAAAAAAAAACTTTTTTTACCACTCTGTCCTAGGTCATCAGTTGGGTATCCTCACTACTAGTTGTGTTTATGACTCTTAACCTAAGTAAAACAAATTTATAATGTTATACTTTCATTTTTCCTGCAAAATAATTTGTAAATGCATATTTTAGATGATCTTAATGGCAAAAATCCAGTCATCCAGTCATCCTCCAATAGCTTGTCACCTACCAGTAACTGCCTCAGTTGGCAGAATAATTCTAATGCTCCAAACCTTTCCATTTCATACGAGGAAATATCAAATGGGCATGAGGAAAGCCCATGTGACCTTCTTGATCCTGAAGGAACCACGAGAGGAAGACTTGAACGATCAGAAAGCACTTTAACACCATCAACTCTGACAAAGTCGAGGGAGACAGGAATAAGACGTGTCGCATCCTGTCCAGGTTAGCTAATCTTCGGTTATATGAACTAAGACTCAGTTATTTTCTACCTTTATTTTCAAACAAGTTGAATGATCACTCTGAATATGAACTTTCCATTTAAGATATTCTCTTTTATTGCTAATGACACAAGTACATTTTGTTATAAATATATCATAGACATTCGTCATAGTATAAAACAATATACATTGTATTTAAAGTTTCAACTCTGAATACACTGTTGTCATAGAAGAAATATTGTATATCCTACTAATGGGCTTGAGAAGATGACAAACTGAGATTTGAGTTTCTGTTCCTGTACTGATTAGCACGAAGTCAGACTTTAAGACATCTAGAAAATCATGTTTCATTGAAGTCTTAGCATTAATGACTCTGAGTAGCTATGCACAAAAAAAATTGTTTCTAAACTATTCTTAAAAATATTAATGATAATCTCATGATTTGGTGGTGTAAATATATGTTATGCCAAAACATAATACAGAGTTCAGAAAATGTTTTATAATTTAAATCACATTCTATGTTATTAATAAGTACAAGATTATTCTACAATGAAATAATTTTGTTTTGGGAACAGAGCATGAAGTAGATAAGAAACCAGATCCAGTACTAGAAATATGCGACATTCCTGTGAAGATAGCTGACCTTGGCAATGCTTGCTGGGTGGTATGTTTTTTATATTGTTTTGAATAATTTAGAATGTTTGTCTAACTGATCTAAGTATTTTGGACAGTTAAAAGTTAAATATAGATTCTGTAACACTTAAGTTGGAGATTTTTCAATTGAATTGAAGTATAAATAAGCCAATTTAATTGCTCGTATGACTTTCATGGTATTCTTTGAGTATCAGAAACAATACAAAAATAAAACAAGTCTTCTTTACAGCACCACCATTTCACTGAAGACATTCAGACTCGCCAGTATCGTTGCTTGGAAGTTCTGTTGGGAGCTGGCTATGGTCCCCCAGCAGATATTTGGAGTACAGCGTGTATGGTGAGTTAGAAGCCAAAATTGTTTGAAATGTTTGTTGTTTTAGATGCTCAAGTTATTGAACAGTTTGCTGGACGTGACTGTGAGTTTCATTTGTTTTTTATACCCACATCATTAATTTTCGATTAAAAGTTGATGTTTTACTCATCTTCTTACTATAATGGACATAGCATGTATGTCACTATCTATGTATGTAGCCAAAACTCCTGCGCCATCTACTGAATGGCACCACAAACAAAAATCCATAAAAAAAATTTGCACTTTGCCTATTCAAGATTCAGACAATTAGAAAAATAACTAAGGTATGTGCAACAACCATTTCTTTATAGTAGAACACAATTTTAAATAAAAGTACTCTCCTCACAACAAGAACACGACTTTCACTAGGACCTGTATGTGTGGTTTTGATTATATCTTTATTGGTGTAATTTTTAAATGTAATACTGAGAAACTGGAATTTGTTTAAAAAAACTATTACTATTTTCAATTAACTCTGCCACTTTTAATATATAAAAACATCAAAGTTTATCTTAGTAAAATTTATGGACATTTGAGCTCCGTATGACTAAAGAGCACAATCCGAACACTTTTCTAAATTTTTTTATTTAAGGAGGTATGAACAGTCATTACTAGCACAAAGAGCCCTTTCTGCTAGAATAAAATATAGCCCATGCTGTGCTGTGTGGATAAAAGTACACCCACATGGGAACTTGAGGAGTTTCATTTTATTCTAGAAGTAGCAGTAGTGATTAATAGTAAACCAGGATGCATACATGGAATTCCTGATTCATACACACTGTTCTAAAGCCCCAGTGATTTTACAGTGCTTAGAATTTGCAAGCTAAAAACTCTATAGCTATCGTTACAAATACTAATTTTATTTTGACCATAATATTTGTGTAGTATTTATAAATAATATTAATAATATATAAAATTGTAAGTTACTTTAATCCCTTCTATAACGAGAATACCTTACAACTGAGTAAGATTTGAAAGACCTCGGCATTTATTGGAGACTTAATTACTATTGTTTTACGGTCCTTTCCTTATTGAAAGTTTACATTTAAGTATGGTAATCCAATTAGAACCTTGAAGTTATGATAGTACTATAGTGATTAGATAATACAAAAATTACAGCCATAAATTAGGCCCTTGGAACCTGTGAAATTGGTCAGAATTTCTCTTACTGTAAACCACTGATCCTCTTTTTTTATTTTTTTTTAAGGAGCAAATCTGGTATCATTTCTATTACTACCAGAAATTTTATTATATTTACATTAAATGTAAATAATTTCAATTGCTTTTGTATAACTAAGAACTCATGATTTATGTGTTTTTGTTCTTTAGAATTTACATGTATGCCATCATATACCAAATGTTTTGTTTTATGCAAAGTCAGTTCTGGTCCTTTGTATTCATTGTACCCATTAACACATTTTTTTGTTCTCAAAATGATTGGTTATGGAAAAAGTTCATATTTAAACTGAAAGTAGAAAAACTTGCATAAAAAAATTTAAAGTATTTGAATAAATATTAGATTATATTTCTGGTTTTTAATTAACGTCTCAAAACACCTCCCAATCTATATACGTGTGATTTTAGGATAGGTTAGATTTGCATAACACTTTACAGAGTACAAAATTTGTTATATTTTTCTGCATGGATATATGTATATCCATAGCCTATATTTTTTCTATTAAACTGAAACAATTATTGTAGATATTTACATATTTTAGGGGAAATATTATTTTTTAAGATTGTATAGTTTTTTCTCTATTTTCTTCGTCAGGTATTTTACTTTAAAACTTTTCTAAGTTATTTTTTTGTCTTTTTTTGTTTATTTTTCAACACTATTGCCTGTATTTTTCTGTTAAACTGAAACAATTATTGTAGATATTTACATATTTTAGGGGAAATATTATTTTTAAGATTGTATAGTTTTTTTCTCTATTTTCTTCATTAGTTTAAAACTTTTTAAAATTATTTTTTCTCTTTTTTTTGTTTATTTTTCAACATTATTGTCTGTATTTTTCTGTTAAACTGAAACAATTATTGTAGATATTTACATATTTTAGGGGAAATATTTTATTATTTTTAAGATTGTATAGTTTTCTCAACTTTTTTTTATCAGATACTTCAATTTAAAATTTTTTTAATTATTGTTTTGTCTTTTTCTTTTGTTGTTGTTGTTTTTCAACATTTTTTGTGTATTCTACAGGCTTTTGAGCTGGCAACTGGAGACTTTCTTTTTGAACCTCACTCTGGTGAGGACTACTCTCGAGATGAAGACCATATTGCTCACATTATAGAGCTGTTAGGGGATATTCCCCGACACATTGCTCTCTCGGGACGATATTCACGAGAGTTTTTCACTAAAAGAGGTTAGTCTTTATGTTTTGAGTTTTTCTTGAAATGTTTAGCATATCTCCAGTATATTGTAATTCACATTCTAAACAATTTGATAAGACCCTTGTACTTTTGACATGTCCACCTGTTGAAAACACTAGGGTTTTATCTTCTTTTTGTTATATGATTTACTAACCATTTGATCCTACATATTTTTTACTGTCATGTACATTATATTGATTTAACAAAGCTAACCCTAAAATTCTTACCTTATCCTGCTCTATTTAACCATATGTGAACAGCATTGATGGTTTGCACCAACCCAGTTTCTATGAGGCTATAGATTGCAATGTTTATTATAATTCAAAATTTATTACATGCATCTTCATTACATTTGGTAGGCTGTTAGTAAACATTATAAATGTATAGTACAGAAAAAAAATCAGTATTTTTAATAGTTTTTTACTAAAAATTTGTCTGTGAATTAGTCAGTTAAGAATAAAAAAACTTTTTCATCTTAAAGTTTCATATTTTATTTCAATAACCTGTAGACCCTTGAATATCAGAAGTCTTTTTTTTTAGTGCAATATTGACATTTTATCTGATATTTTCTCTACCCTAACACTAACTATAGTGAAATCAGCAATTTTGAGTAAAATGGAGATTTGAAAAATACAAAATATATATAAATTATCGTATATTTCGGAATATAAGGCGCACTCTTATTTTGAAGACAAAGATTTGGGGGGGAAAAAAGCTACAGTCGCATTTGAAAGATTTTTATTGAACAAAAATTCAGTTTGATACTTTAAAAATTAGTATATATTGTTCTAAACACATAAGAGCCCAAAACATCAAAATAAGAAAATACTGACATCAAATTTTGGGGTAAAAAAGTGCGTCTTGTACACCGAAAAATACGGTACCCTTTTTTTTTCTAGTTTTACTGCATATTGTGATACAATTACAGTATTTATTCTTTCTGCCAAAGCTAATAGACCTTTCAAACGTGGGTTTATTTATTTTTAAGAAAACTTAAATAAAACAATTTCTTGCAATAGTCAGTATCATAGCATGCTATGTTCACGAGATGTGATTATAATTTACTTGTGTTATGTTTGTTGTAACTTAATTATTTATTGACACTGTGATTTGTTGAACTGTGATAAATGGTTTTTGGTATACTCTGACAGAATCTAAGTGCAGCTGTAAAGCAACATTCAAACTAATAAGTTTCTAACTTTTACATCTTAGTTATAGTTTAACAACAATAAGTAAAAAAAAAATATACATAAAATAAAAGAAATTTGGTACTTACTCATCTGGACTCCTGCTTTTATTGCTATCAACTTTTCTTTTAACTTTTTTTCAGCACAGGCTCGGTTCCCGGGACCGACCTCGTAACCATTTTGTGCTTGATATAGTTTTCATGCTATAACATTTAAATTAGTAAGCGAATGTTAACAAAATTTGGCAGATTATCAGTAAACATTACAATGCTTTCATATGCAAAATATCAACATTTTTTTATTAAGTCTTAAGGTTTATAAAGCGATGTTTTTCTCATGTCTATTCATTTTAAGATTAAAAATACTTTTCTGGATCAGAACATTTTTAAATTTCACTTGCGAAATCTTTATCGAGATAGTTATCAAATGTTTCTTGAGAAAAAACTTTATATTTTATCTGTTATTTTCAGTAATTAATCTCTGTACGGGTTCGGTATATTTGACCTATCTCACAACCACCATAAAAAATTAGGAAAGAAATATAAATTCTGCCTCTTTCTTTCTGGAATGAACACAAATTATAACACGAAAACATAAATGTGTAGACTAATAGCTTAAATCTCTTAACATTATAAATTTATATATATTTATTGTATTAACCTTTCAGCCATGCCTGGCTAACAATACAGAAGCTATAATGATACAGCTCATGTGCACTCATGTTACCGTATCAAATAACATAAAACTGACCTTTGGTCTATACAACGTAACTTGTCTTGGCTAGTAGACTAGTATTTTGTAAAATACAGTGACATTTCAATTATTATACATTATATATGTATATAGATTATTGCTATTTTAAAATAAGTTCTTAAACATATTTTTCCTAAAACATAGAACAGTAAATAAAGAAGTAAAGCAAACAATTATCTCTCTTAATTACAACCTTTGTACTCTGTTGCTAGTTGATGTAGGTTGCTAAGCCTTTAAAAATTGTACATGTGGAG